TTATGACTGGTTTTGTGGTCCACGGTCACATTTGCTGATTTGCTGCTCAAGAAACATTTATTATCATCTGTGCTGAAAACAGTTGTGCTGCTCAATATTTCTGCGGAAACAGTCATTTTATTTTCAGGTTTCATTGATAAATAGAAAGTTCAAAAGAAGAGCATTCATTTGTAACATTATAAATATCTTTACTGTAACTTTTGATCAATATCAATAATTTTTGATCTCAATTTCTTTAAAAAAATGACCTCAAAATGTTTTGTATATGCAATATTCTTTTATCCAGCACACAGGCTTGACTGGAGTCGTCATCTCTTATAAAAATTTGAGACATATTTGTCAAAAGTACCATTAGTTTCTTTATGATTTAACTGTGAAACCTTTTAAGGAGGACAAATCTCATTCATTCATTATTCGAAAGAAAAGTGTGCAAATTTGAGACATCAGTAATTAGCCTGCAGGATGTTTAGGACTGAAATTACATTTGACCTAATCTGTGTAAGTGAGTCTGACCACCCGACCTTTGCACTGTGGTCAATAAACTTTGTCTACGTGACATTTTGGACTTTAAAGTCTGTTAACACCATTTTAACAAAGCAAGCCTATTTTTTTGTTTGGTTCTTTGGTTGAAATTAGCCTGAGTAGCGTAAAGGAGGGCCAGATTGTACAGGGTCTATGGCAGTGTTAATTTCGTTGACGAATAATTTTCATCATAATTTTCGACAACGACATTTTTTTCACCCAAGACAACGAGACGAAAACGAACTAAAACTCTTTTTGAATGACAAAAACTATGACGTAAATCTATTGGATTTTAGTTAATTTTCGTCTCGTTGTCGTCAGTGAAAAAAATGTCGTTGATGAAAATTATGATGAAAATTATTCGTCAACGAATAAAAATGAGACGAAAATGCTAGGGAGGGACGATCTGGGAAGAGATTCATTCAGAAAGTATCTGCTGCGAGGTTCGGAGGTTAGATGCGTACATATGAACCAATGGGACATAAGCTAACATACACTTGCTGCACGTCGCATAAAATGTTCAAAAATGTCAATATGTGGGAGTAAGAGAAGAGCAGACATATAGATAAATCTGACGACGCAAGAGAGAACTCAATTCGGTCCGGTTTTCAGAGCGCAGACACTGAAGCATACACACACACACACACACAGAAAGCGCCTCTCACAGCACGCGTGTACTCTTTCGCGTCGCATGAACGGAGAATTACACACAAAATTAT